CTTACGGTGGCGCTTATGATTGTGGCTTCACATGATTATTGCGACGGTTGGTGGGCGTGTTCGCCCCTCCCCTCCCGCATCGCAGGCTGACTTGGCAAGCGTACCCCTTGATTACGGTTAGATCAAAAAGCAGGCCTTCTAATATAGGGGTCTTATCATTAGAATAGGGTTTTGGAGCCCATTATACTATACTTATAACAAGGAACCCCCAAAATAGTATAGGTAACTATTGAGAACCCTACCTTACGGGATGCTCACCTTGACTCAAGGCCTTTGGGCTTCCTCTTCGACCCCGACATGCCCCTTCGAAAGCTTACAAATCTTGACTCTGAAGTTCATTAAGCTCTCTGGGCTGGGTTGGGGCTAGAAGAGCGGCAGGGTTCCGAGTTCAGGGCTTTGGGGCCTAAACCCTAAACCCTAAACCCGAAACCCTAAACCTGGGGTTTAGGGTTTGGGGTTTAGGGCTGTTTGGGTTTAGGACCGTCGACTTGAGCGTTCAGAGCCAGGGCAGGACCCAACAGCCGGTCGCAGGACTCAGCACAGATCTGCTGTTTAGAGCTTTAGGGTTTAGGGGTTTTGGGGTTTTAGAGTTTAGGGCTTAGGGTTTAGGGTTTAGGGCTTTAGGGTTTGGGGTTTCAGGCTTTAGGGCTTTAGGGTTTGGTGTTTAGGGTTTAGGGCTTTAGGGTGTTAGGGTTTATGGTTTAGGGTGCTGCCCAGCATCATCATCACCGCCCAACCGGTTCGGCAGCACCGATATCAGGCCTGAGCCATAGTCGTGGGCTCGGGAATGGACTCATAGTTTAGCGGGGCCCCAAACCCCAAACCCCTAAACCGCAAACCCCAAGCCCCTAAACCCCAAACCCTAGACCCCTAAACCCCTAAGTCCCCTAAACCCCTAAATCCCCTAAACCCCTAAATCCCCTAAACCCCTAAATCCCCTAAACCCCTAAATCCCCTAAACCCCTAAACTCCGTAAAGTCTTGAGGTTAACCTGAAAACTGAACTCAAATCTCGAGCCCCGACAATCCACCCTCGGGGCTGGATTCGACGTCTGGGTTTCGAATTCGGGTTTAGGGTTTAGGGTTTAGGGTTTAGGGTTTAGGGTTTAGGGTTTAGGGTTTAGGGTTTAGGGTTTAGGGTTTAGGGGGTCCAAGGCACCTCCAGCCCCAAATCTTCTCGCAGCCCAAAACCTGTAACCCTCAGGCGATAAGACCGCTAAAACCTCCAGCCTCGAACATCCTAAAACCCTCATTTTGGGGGCTTAGGATTTAGGGTTTTGGGTGTTGGGTTTAGGGTTTAGGGTTTACCCTCATCCCTAAACCCCCGCGCAAATCCATACACCCTACGGACGCTGCACCCTAACGCCTAAACCCTTGCACCCTAAAGCTAATGCTTCAAATCCTGTGAGTTGTTGAATCAGGATCGGAGAATATGGACATTTCCAAAAACCAAACCCTAAACCCTAACCCTAAACCCAAACCCTAAACCCAAAACCCTGAACCCAAACCCTAAACCCTAAACCCAAACCCTAAACCCTAAACCCTGAGCAAGCAAGAGCAGCGCCCCAGCCTGGCCACGTCGACGCTACGTCCCGCAGACGGATCTCCTGGATATCGGGTTCGGGGGCCATGTATAGGGTTTAGGGTTTAGGGTTTAGGATCTGCGGCGCCCATCTCGATCCCCAAGCAACAGAAGCAAAGTTCCTATTACCATGTCCGCTCTAGTGGCGATTGAAGAAGACAAAAATCATCCTGATTGAACGCGCCCCACCAGAGTTCAAGAAAAACTCCTTCGTTGAGAGTTCCGGGCCCACCCTCAGCCCGAAATAGGCAGCTAGCGCCCTAAACCCTAACCCCTAAAACCCCTAAACCCAAAATCGACAGGAGCTCTAGACGTGGCCCAAGGCTGAAAAGATTTCTCAGTGTGTTTAGGGTTTAGGGCTCAAGGCCTTGCGTTTCCCTTCAGCCTGAACCCTAAACCCTAAGTCAAAATAGGGTTTAGGGTTTAGGGTTTCCCAAACAATTCTTGTTGCAGGAACTTGTACAGGAACTCCTCTGCACCTTTCCTAGGAACCGTTCTAGGAACAGCACAGGAAGCCATAAAGGAACCCTTAAAGGAAAACCCCTAGGTTTGTTTAGGGTTTAGGGCTTAGGGCTGTAAGGGACTGTTATACCCCTAAGTTTCAGACACCGCCTTTTGTATGCCAGCGAAGCCGAAGGGCCAACATGTCGGCGAGCGGGATCACGCTGCTGTGCGCCACGGTACCTGGGAGATTCAGATAGTGTTGAAAGTTCAAAAGTTCAGGTTTAGGTGCTGAGGGGATTGGGTTTAGGGTTGAGTGTTAAGGTCTACTAAACAGAAGGGTATCGACTTTAAGGGGGACGTGGTTCTAGAAACCCTCACAACCAAAACCCCTAAACCCTAAAAGCCTAACCCTAAACCCAATGCCTAAATCCAAAGCCTAAACCCTGATCCAAACACACCCGGGGCTTCGCTTGCAGATCCGTCCGCATCTCAGGGCTGCTAAGCCTTCGGGCTCGGTTTCAGATTTTGGGGATTTGTGTCAAGGAAAAACGGGTTTTAGGATTTCAGGTTTAGGAAACAAGTTTGGGGTTTAGGGCTTAGGGGTTCTAGGATTTCGGGTTTCGGAAACAGGGTCTCAGGCCTGAAGGTTCAAGCTTGCAGGGTCCAGACACCTAAAAAACCAGCTTGCAGGGCCCGAGGTCCCGGAACCATAAGTATAAGTTTAGGGTTTAGGGTCTAGGGTTTAGACGAGACTATGCATACAGCTGGAAACACAATTCTGCAAGCATCATAGGTACGCCATGCTTCAATCTACGTAGTCTGAATGATTCCCGGATACTGCTTGTCGCTCGAACATCAGAATCAAAAATCCTCAACTTTCTAGTCGATCCACCGTGGCTTGGCGGTGATAAGGCGTCCACAGATGCACGACTGATACTAGAATCCGCAAAGCCTAGTGAAACCCCAAACCTCAACCCCTAAAGGAACCTTCAAAGGAGCCTAAATCGAACCGTTTCACGAAACCCTTAAAAGCCCTTGAAGGAACCAATGAAGTGAACTTTATTTTAGTAGGAGTTAGGATTGTCAATAAGGTTCCTTTTCATAGAGCCATAAGTAGGGTTGAGTGTCCGCTTTCAGGGGTCTCCCTAATACGACCTAGGGTATGGGAACCCTAGTGGCTCACCAAACCCTTGAAGTCCAACCCTCCTTCGCCAAGACAAGATGCTAGGGCCATTCGCCTCGGATTGCCCAAAGAAGCTGCATGCATGCAAGTAGCTTAGCCTTAAAGGCGTAGGGGGCTTCAGTTTTAGGGCTTACTGGCTTTGCTTTGGGGGCTTAAGGGTTGGACTCAGGGCTTAGGGTAGGGGTTTTGGGTTCAGGGTTTAGGGTTTAGGGGCTTAGGGTTCATGGGTTTAGGGGTTTAGGGTTTAGGGTTTAGGGTTGCTTGGGGAGCTCGGGATGTAGGAGGCAGGATTCAGGCTTGCGGGACTAAGGTTGACCCTTGAGTTGCGGGGCTCGGCCGTAGAGACCATAATGTAGGGGCCTTAATAGTTAGAATAGGGCTTTGGGGGTTTAACCCATTAAGGCTCCTATATTAAACAAAAAAGTCAGTCCAAACATGTTTGAACTCAAATTGTCCGAAGTATCGCGGAAGCGGTACAGATGCAAATGCACCACAAAACTGGAGCCCAACTGCAAATCCTGGATCCCAAACGAAGATGCAAGGGTCAGCCCCCCGTGGCTCGCAAGAGAGGTGAACCCAGAGATTCCAATATCCCTTGATGAAGGAATACTGTATGCCTTAAAATCATATTTGGGATCCTACTATAATTTAAGGTATAGTCCTTAATTAAGGGATATTGGGGTCTCTGGGAACTACTATGGGGCCTCTGGGTGCACTCACAACTCGGACCCTGCCAGGCGAATGCTCTACCAAAGTCTATCAGCTGTAAGTTGGCGTGAGACAGGGTGCAGCTGCAAGGGTTTGCAGATTCAGGCATTTCTTTACAGAGAACACCAAGGACATGCGTTTCGGAAAACAGCTCATTATCTCTCACTTAAGCTTGAGTTCTGCAAGCGTTCAAGTTCTTCGGATAAACCCGTTTTGCCTTGGGCTTTTGCGGAAAAGCCCTAGACCCTAAAAGACCCTAAACCCTGAGCCAAGACGTTGTTCGAGCCGAGCTTTGTTTTCTTCGCGGCGTTTGAATCTCTCGGTTTTCCGGGGCTGCTCTTTAGGGTTTGGGGTTTAGGGTTTTAGGGTTTAGGGTAGAAGTCTGGATGATACCCGTCCCGGCTTGGCTGATATGTGCTCCGCGGTACAAACTTGCAACTCTTTGCTCCTCCTGGTCATGCAAGCAACCGTGCAGAATATACTGCACTCTACCAAATTATTTTATGGCATACTTCTCATGTACAACCCTAAACCCTTAACCATTCTCCTATATAGGTAGTACAAGGCTTAACCCTAAACCCTAAACCCTTAACCCTAAACAATTCAATAATCTACCCAGGATCAGGATCAGAGCGCACCTCCAGCAACTCCCAGGTCAAAAGGGCAAATCAACTGTTCAAGACATCTGTCCCCAAAAGAGCTATATAGGGGTTTAGGGTTTAGGGTTTAGGGATATATAAGGTTTAGTTTTAGGGTTGGCAGGATCCTTTCTGCATTGCCAGTGGTCCTCTTTAGAGCAACCTGCACATCTTCAAATTTCCTCCTCAGGCTTCCGGCAGGGTGGTCCAGTGCGCACT